TCGTGCCCGAGGCCGCACGCTGCAGGGAGAGCACCTTAGGGACCACATGAAGCCTCTAAGGGTTTGGGGTGGGTTTAGGGTTTAGGGTTTAGGGTTTAAGGTTTAGGGTTTGGGGTTCAGGGTTCAGGGTTCAGGGTTCAGGGTTCAGGGTTTAGGGTTTAGGGTTTAGGGTTTAGGGTTGAGGGTTCAGGGTTTAGGAATAGGAATTATTCTGAGTTATAGGTATTCCTCATCTACCTCAGAGTAGGAATTCTTCTAAATTATCGTAGGATAGTATTGCTCATATACCTCAAGGATAGTAGTCTCGTATTGCTAATATAGCTCAAAGTAGGAATTCTTGCGAAACGAGCGGAAACCTATTTTCTCCCACTCTTGCTTGTGCCTATAAAGGGCTTCGGTAAAGACACCTCTATACAACTGTACAAGGTACATGCTTTACCTAGAAAGTGGTGTGGGGTCAGCAACTTTCGCACACCCTCCTTAAAGCATGTGCCTCTTGCTGCTCCCCCGTTGGTCGCGCATTGGGCTCAAGATGCGTCACTCAATCTTGCCTTTAAAGCAATACTTGCAAACGGTGATACCTTGGACATCCGTGGCTTGGATCAGTCCGTGACACTTTGGATTTGCATGGAACTTTCGTCCCTTGCGACTCACATAGAGCTTTGCATCTGGGCACTTTTCACCCATGTAGATGAACACCTCTCGGTTTCCAAAATGGACACACTTACAGAGGCATGTGCACACCATCACTGAGAGCGTGATGATGTTCATAACCACACTGACTACTACGAAGAGCAACCATTGGGTTCCGGTGTCACCCGGTCCATGAGGAATGAGATCCATGAGGTGACTCCCTCAGAGGCCGGTGTCTAGTAACAGCACTGACAAATTGCTTTATGTTCAGCTTTGAGCACTGCTGCGGCTGCCACTTTTTCCAAATGTTGACTGCTCCGATGGTTTGCATGCTGTTCTTTGTAACGTGCTTGTCAAGTCCTTGCTTGTCCAAGGTAACCAACCCGAGCATTTCGCGTGCTTCTTCCATCTCCTTTCCGGTTGTTAAGTGCTTCGTCAAAGCATTCGATGGGTTTTCCGTTCCTTTGATTTTCTGCACGATCACTCTTTTCTCTTTCACAAGCTCTTGAATGTAGAAATGTCCCAGATCAACATGTCGCATTTTCCCAACACCCAATCTCCGTGCAACTTGGATGGCTGCACTACTGTCACAAAACAGTCTTGGCACATCGATCGTCATGCCAAAGTCTTCCACACCTAAGTTCCGCACGAAAACTAGGTCCTGGGCGCACTGAGTTAGGGCTCTGACTTCTGCCTCTCCTGAGCTGGTCGCAGGAGTTCCTTGCTGACTCCGAGCAGAAGTTTCAACCACGGTCCCTCCTAGGACTATTGCCTGCCCACTGGTGCTCTTGCGGTCTTCTCTGTCACCTGCCCAGTCACTGTCGCAATACCCCTGCAGCGGAATCCCTGCAGCTGGTTCGAAGTCTTCACTCATCTTTGTCACATGTCCCACGTGCATGGTTCCCCTGAGATATCTACCTAACGTCTTGAGGTTTTGCATGTCACATTCCCTGGGATTCCTAATCCGCTTTGCAAGCTCCTTGCATGCGAATTTGATGTCGGGTCGATCCTGCGACAGGTAGGTAGCACTGCCTACACAGCTAGCGTAGATTTCTTTGGCTCTGCCCTCCAGAAGCTTGTCATCCTTTAGGTTGAGCTTCTTTCCCGGCACGGGGCTTGGCTTGGCGGCCTCTAGTCCTAGCATCCTAAGGATGTCAGTGGTATGCTTTTCGTTCGGCATCGTAACCACAGCTCCCTCCACCAGGATCTTCTTTCTGCCAAGAAATTCACTCGTGCTACTGCTTGCTGCGCCTGGCCATTCAAGCTCACCCACTTTTAGCTTGCATCCGCACTTCGGCAGCTGAACTTTCAGCAGGTCATCCAGCAACTCTGCCGGTCCACAAACGTCGAAATCGTCTATGTGGTGGATCAAAACGATCCCTGTTCGCACGCATCGAAAGACACATGCGTCTAGTGTCCCCCTGTGAAACTGATACACTCCCTTCGGGAGTTCCTTGGTCAAAATGGTTTCCAGACGATCTCTGTACTGCGCTGCCGCTGACTGCCTTCCATACAGATTTCCATCGACCTGCCATAGCACGCTTTCTTTCGGCACGTTCTTCATCTGCTCTTGCATTTCTGGGCTTGCTTTTGCGTACCACTCATCGTATTCCTCCAGCCATTCCTTTGGCGGCTTCATCATCACTGGTTGTCCTTTTGCATCTCCACCATCTTTCGCAATGAGGAAAGCTGAGCTAAGGTCGGCCTTGACTCTCGGCATCTTTGTCGTCAGCGAGTAAACCTCCAACAACTTCCTCGAGGTGGCGTGTGGCGTTGGACAGAAATTTGAAGGGTACTCTGAGTTGTGCTTCTCATTTGCTTCTTGCTTCTTCTTGAAGTCCTGGCATGTGAGTCGTGACTTTGCCACTCCTTCAGTGACCTTGTCAACCCACTTGTGGCCGAACACCGTCAGGTCCTTTGTTATCTGTCTCCCATCTCTCGGTGTGAAGGCACCGTACACCTCATTTAGCTTTCTCAGCTCTTCCTTTCTCGCTCTCCTCAACTCTTTCTCGTCAATCTGCAACGTGTCCAGGTAGTCCATGATGTTGCTCACCATTGTCTCGTTGAAGCAATCTTTGTTTTGCTTCAGCCACTTCTTGTACACACCCACATCTTCTTTTGGTAGGAGAGCACTACCCTCCAGCCAGGTCCCATGGTTACTAACACTGTCCACCATGTTCTGCGCTACATCTCCCGGCACGCTTGGCACATACATGCTCGTGTCGAGACTGTCTGTGCCCATGCTGGCATCAGGCGTAGCGATGTTGAACTGCTGCGTGCTAGCTGCAGCATTCCCGGTGTCACCCGGCGGCCGACTGGCCTGCGCAGGCTCCACCCTGGCTCTCTTGCTCTCTGGCTCTTGCAATGCAGCTTTCTCACTTTCCTTTCCTGCATCGTCTGCTGCTCTTGGCGCCGGCATTGGCACCACTATCGTCTCTGGCTTGAAGTCGTAGGTCTCTGCAGGCTCCAACTCCGGAACTGCTACACCCTTGCTCTCAGACCGTTCTTGCACTACCTTGCTCGTTGCAATGCCCAAGTACCTGTTCCAAGGCACTCCCTTTGCCTTGTTGAGTATCGCCGCTTCATATCTTGCACTTTCTGGTAACCTCCTCACGGTGCGGCATGTCTGCACCCCTGACTCTGTAAGCACCAAGTGCTCATCGCCTGCAGCATTCTTTCCGGCATACACTCCGCGAATCCATCTTGGAGCTGCCTTGTCCTTTTGCTTCGGAAATTTTGCTAAGGACACCTGTCCGAAAGTCATCATCTCACCCACATAGTCAAACCCATTGATGACTCTGAACGCCGTTGTCTTCGAATGGTTGATGTGAAACCGGGCCACCGTCCACGCACTGTGTCGCACAATCCATGGAAACAAGACACTGTCACAGCCAATCTTGACTTTGTATTTCTCTGACACCTCCGCAAGCCATGTGCGAATCTTGCCTGCCAGAAAACCGTTGACCATCTCTCCATCTGCTAAGGACTGTGAACTGTATCGCGGTGATCTCCGCAGAGTAACGGTGTCACCCATTTCCTTCTGCACCCTTTCATATATCTTGTTCAGAGCGCTTTCTTGGTCGAAATGGATCACTACCTTGTCCCACTTCAGATCCTTGATCCAGCTGATCATTGCCTTGCTTGCGTAGTCCACGCTGGCTTTGGATGGCAACACCAGCGCGAAAGGGTACTGGCTCTCTTTGCAAATTGCAGTGAGAACGGTTACCAAACCAGCCCGCTTCTTTTCTCCTTCTTCTTTGTTCACTTCCTTGCCTTCTCCAGAAAAGAACATGTAGTCGGAGTAGATCACATGCTCCTTGGGGTCTTCCTTGACCCTCCTGTGCTGCTTGCTCTTACCTTGCCCCATCACACAAACAGGGCACCAACTCTCGAAGTTGGCATGGTGGAGGTTGTGTTCTTCCACCTCCTGAGCCGACGGCTCCTTCGGCGCCTTGATGACCTTGCTCTGGTCTTCTCTTTCTCTGTCCTCATCTATCATCAGCCGATCCACTGCGTCTTCGTCGTCTTCCACAACTCCTCCATGAGCTTCCTCTCCTTGCGCAATCTCTTCTTCATATGCCTCGTCTAGTCCTTGCATCCATTCGCCTTCATAGTCTGGCTGCTCTTCCTCAGCAGCTGCTTCTTCTCTTTCTGGCTTCAGCCTGAACCAGGTTTCTCCCAGCCAAGCATGCTTCATATCCCTCATTGCAAAGCGCTTGTCTTCCCACGCACTCCGATCTTCCTTCTGGGACCCATCCTCCTCGAAGATCATCTTGGTGAGCCTTCCACTCTCCAGTCTCTCCAAGGGCACAGGGAGATCCTTGATCTTTGGCGCAAACAAACGCTTTCTTGGGCTGTTGTGCTCTCGAATGAGATACTCCACCCCATCCTTCACTTCTCTCTTCCAGCGGTCTTCCTCTCGACGACCCAGATCCGGCTTGTCGGCAATGGGTGCGACCCTCCTGCCTCCTGCAGGCGCGCTCCCTTCGCCCACGTCCATCACTTTCAAGTACCACCTTTTCCCATGAAGCTCAAGTGGTACGGTGTCACCCGCGCTGGTCTCGAGGAAACACCCTCCTGGGCTGAAAACCACCTTGTGTCCTCTCGCTACCAAGCTGTGAACCGAAACTAGGCTCTCAGCAGCATCCGTTACGGTCATTTCTACTGCTCCTTTGGTTTGTCCGAACATGACCTGAGGGTACTGCTTTCCATACACCTTAAGCGGCGTCCCTTGCACGCTGAACAAAGGCTTCGCTTTCGAGGCATCCACCTGTGCTTCAAAGTCTCCTACTTTTGCTACACTCTCACAGGCTCCTGAGTCGATGAGAAGATACCGGTTGCCTAGCTGTTTTGCAGTCACAGCTGCGACGGAACTCTCACTCACAGTGAATATCACATCTTCATCACTCCACTTGACAACACGCTGCGAACCTTCAAACACAGAACCAATCCCTGCACCGTTGCCACTCCGGTCTTCTGGGGCAGTCGATGCACCCGTCCCACCGGTCTCGGTGTAGGCCTCGTTGTCGACTGCTCCAACCTTCCACCAGCAGTCTGCAGCAATGTGACCATGCCTGTGGCATATATGGCACTGCTTTCCAGCGTGCGGATTGTTGTTCTTTCCTTTCCCATCGTTTTGCTTTCCTTTGCCTCCTTTGTTGTTGTTGCCTGCTCCTTTTCCCTTGTCGGTTTTGCCTTTCTTCCCATCCTTACCTTTCCCTTTGCCATTGTTGTCCCACCTGTTGTTGTTCCACTTCTCCTTCCATTTGTCCTTTCCTTTGTTGCTCCAGTTGTCCTTTCCTTTGTCGCCCCAGTGGTCCTTTCCTTTCTTCCATTCTCCTTTCCCTTTGCCTTTGTCTCCTTTTACTCCGCCGATGTCCATAGGCCTCACTCCCCCATCATCATGCTCAGCAGTTTTGTTTGAGGCTTTGGGCATCCCGAACTGTGAACCTTGAGGCCTTTTCCACAGGTTTCTGTTGATCAGATACTGTTCGATGTACTCTCTTATCTTGTCGTATCCGTTCAACACATCACTGTGCATGAAGATGCTTTGCTGCAACTCTTTCGGTGCAATATGAGCCAAAATGGACACTTTCTCATCTTCTGAAAACGCTGCGTTGTACGTACGCTCAAACTCTCGAAGTTCAGCTTCCCACTGGTGAAGCGCTGTGCTCCACTGTGCAATGTCACTCGGAAACGAGGGATTTGCTAAGTGCCTGCGCCACACCCAGGCCTTAGTCCGATGCGCTGGCTCGCTCAGAAGCACCAATCTTCTCCAAACCTCAAAACCGTTGGCATCACGCAACCCTTGTCCTATGACGTTCATCGTTGGCTCGGGACAGCACTGTATCAGAAACGTGTACATGGCTTTCGACAGTCTACTTTCTTCGGGGCTAAATTTGGCTTCATCAATCGGGTTCTTACTGGCTCCATGCTTTTCCAACAACTCTGGGTAACGCTCATGCACTGTGCTTGACCATGCCATGAAAACATGTTTGAACTTTTCCCATTCTTCTTTCTTGCCGTTAAACGTGTGCGGTTTTGGAACATGACTGGGGTGTATCAGTTCTTTCTCTTTTCTTTCGGCGCTCCCTGTGGCTTGTCCTGCTGCTGCTGCTGCTGCTGACTGTGCTTGAAGTGCTCGTTCTGCTACATCAAGTCTAGCTTCGGCCTCTGCTGTCTTCTTTTGTTGCTCTTCAAAGGCAGCGTTGGCTCGTTGCATACCAAGTGTTAGGTCCTGCACTCTACGGGCTAACTCTTCTAGAGTTGCCATTGAAACTACCAAAAAAACTCAAACACACACAAACTGTACAGGCTTCACGAACACAGAAGCGGTGCCGAGTTCGGCAGCAGCCTGCTTGAGCTGCTCCCTCACACTCGGCGGTGTCACCCGCACTTCAGCGGTTCCAACCCGCTCCTGAGGACTGGTACCAAGAGCCTTGCCACTGGTGCCAGCCTCCCGTTCCTCTCGCTCTGTACCACTCGTTCCAAAGCCGATCTCGCTCCCGATCTTGGCGGCTCCACGGCTCGTCACTCCTCTCTTCGTTCTCTGTGTCCTCCTCTGTGACTCTGTTGTCAAAGCTCGGCGTCACCTGCCGTCGCCAGCCCACAGAGGAGGCCCGACTTTCGAGGTCCCAGCTCGAGGCGGCCCCCGCACTCGAGTGCCCCACCGATGGGCGGGCTTTGGCACGCGGAGGCTCAGATGGCTCCGGCGGCGGCTGCTTGTGCCGCTTTGCTTGTTCCCGCCTTTCACGTGCCCTGTCGGCCTTCTTCAAGGCAGACTGCACACCGTTCGGATCCTCCGGGTCAGTGCTGTGCTCCTCTGAGCTTTCACTTTCCCAATCCGAGGTGTTTCCGGACTGCTCCTCTTTCTTGACCTCCTGCTTGATCTCGCCTTCACTTTCGGAGTCCCACACCGATGTTGGCTGGTGTGTGAGCGTAACCACTGAAGCCCCGCTTCTTGCTGGCTCGGTGTGTCCCGCCTCTGTAGGCGGTATCACCCGCGCAGCACTGCTGGGTTCTTCTCGCTCCTCGCTGGCCTCTGCCTCGTCCGAGGAAGCTGCTGTGCCGCGCCTGCTGGTCCTTGCCAGCCGCCCAAGCCCTTCTTGCACCCTCTGACCAGCTACCTTCTGCAAGTAGCTCCTTCTAGCTTGTCGTCCAGGGTTCTGCGCTGCGATTGTAGCCAGCCCTGGGTACTGGGCCCTCAAGCGCTCCCACTGTCCACTGTCACTGGTGGGAGGTAACTCTTCAGGAACCCAGGCGTCCTCGTCTAACCACTCACCAAACCCAAGGTTGCTGCCTTCGCTGGGCCTGGCTTGTAGTCTGAGCGCGTCCTCTGCAGACAAGTCTCCAGGCACAGGAGCCTCTTGCGGTTCCCTGTCCCTGGACTCCGACCTGTTCAGCGCTCGCTCTGCTCGTCTGGCAAAGCCTCGTAGGATCCTTCGCTCCTCTGCTTCTGCACTACGATGACGACTGCGAGGTGCGTCGGCTTCTCTCCCTTTTCTAACACCCTTCTTGGTCTTTCCTGACCCCTTTCCTTTTGCTCCACCTTTTCCCGTGGTGCCTTCTTCGCGACTGCTACTGGCGCAGTTCGCTTCTGTCTTGCTTCTTTAACGAGGGTTTTGGCAAGACTCCCTCGAGTCCGGCAGGCTTTGTCGCCCTGCCTGCGGTGTCACCCGCTGCTGCTTCACACGCAGCTAACGGTATCACCCGTTGTTCACGAGCTCCGGTCGACTGGCTTCTGAACCAGGAGCTCCGCTACCATGCGAAACGAGCGGAAACCTATTTTCTCCCACTCTTGCTTGTGCCTATAAAGGGCTTCGGTAAAGACACCTCTATACAACTGTACAAGGTACATGCTTTACCTAGTAAGTGGTGTGGGGTCAGCAACTTTCGCACAATTCTGCTGAATTATAGTAGCATAGTATTAAGTATTAGTATAACCCTAGACCATGAACCCGCCCTAAACCCTAAACTCCTTAAGCCCCTTAAACCCCTTAAACTCCGTAAACACTGAACCCTAAACCCTAAACCCTAAACGCTAAGCGCTAAACCCTAAACCCTAAACCCTAAACCCCCAATTTTCGGGTTCCTTCGGTCTCCCCAGGGCACCAGCGCCACGGGCGCCTGGGGCCCGCTCTCCTCGTTGTTTTGGGCGGGTTTAGGGTTTAGGGTTTAGGGTTTAGGGTTTAGGGTTTAGGGTTTAGGGTTTAGGGTTTAGGGCTATGGAGTTTAGGGTTTAGGGTTTATGGGTTTATGGGTTTATGGGTTTATGGGTTTATGGGTTGATGGGTTGATGGGTTGATGGGTTGATGGGTTGATGGGTTTATGGGTTTATGGGTTTATGGGTTTATGGGTTTATGGGTTTATGGGTTTATGGGTTTATGGGTGTATTGGTTTATGGGTTTATGGCTTTATGGGTTTATGGGTTTATGGGTTTATGGGCTTATGAGTTCATGGGCTTAGGGTTTAGGGTTAGGGTTTAGGGCAGTTTAGGGTTCAGGGCAGTTTAGGGTTTAGGGTTTCGGGTTTAAGGAGTTTAGGGTTGAGGATTCACAGGGTCTGGGGCTAAAGAGCTTAGGGTTCAGAGGGTGCATCTGGTTTCGGGGCCTAAACCCCCCGTAAACCCCCGCTTCAACCCCCCCTCTAAACCCCCCTTAAACCCACCCTTTAATTAACCCCCCCTAAACCTACCTCTAAACCCCCCCTAAAACCCCCCCTGAGCTTCGAGCGCCCCTAGACCCCCACTCTCCTCCTGGAAGCGGCGCAGCACCTGGCCGTCCTGGAGCTCCAGCTGCCGGCGCTGGCGCGCGCTGTCGAGGAGGTTGGAGAGGTGGAGGAAGGGCACGTCGTGGTCCGCCAAAGCGTGGCACACCCGAACTTCGAGGTCGGCCCACTGCACAAAGACCAGGGCCTGCTGGGAGCACAAGGAAGTGCTGGGCTGGTCCAGAACAGCAGGGTTTAGAGCCCAGGGGCCGACGGACTCGTATCTAGAACAAGAGATTGTGTCATTCCAATTATCATAATACTCCTGTTCCTAGACTACTGTTTATACTCCTACTTACTACTACATAAATCATAAGGATAAAAATATCAGAACAATGACTGGAAACGCAGTAGTACAAACAACATTAACTGTACACTCGCCCTATCATATTGACACTGCCAACACTATCATCATCAGAACAATAGCAATATGGCGTTCAAGAGAGAGATTGCCAACAGTCCAATAGCAGCATGTAGTGCGATGGAAGAGAGAAGACGTTTTCCAACACAGGGCTCCCAGACCGCGGGCTGCGAGACCCGCCGAATACAAGCGTCGGAATGTAGGGCATCTCAGTTTGATCTGCTACTCCTGATGTATTGGCTTGATCTGCTACCCCTCTGCTTGCAACATCTCTTCAAGTCGCTACTCCGTCGCTCTTGCGACCGCCAACCCCAAAAAGATCCGGGGAAAAGAACACGCGCCTTGGCCGTGGGGTCTTGCTCACGGATCTGCTTCAACTTGGCAGCCACGGCGTTCAGCTTCGACCCGTGCCGCTTCCAGGCTCTGGTCATGGGGGCCTGGGGGGTCGGTGGCAGAGGCTCCGGGCTCTTCAGCTCCATCACCACCGAAGAGATCTCTGAAAGCCGCAGGGGTGCCCGGCACTCTGGGCAGTGTGGGGTCCGAGCCAGAGCCTCCCTGACGCACTGCATGTGGAAGAGGTGTGAGCAGGGGAGGATCGCCGTGCAGGTTAAGTCCGACATGGGATCCAAGCAGATGGAACACTCAGAGCACCCCTGCTCTTTCTCTGAGCCCTGCTGCAGTGTGCGCAGCTGCTGCTCATAGAACTGGACACTGCGCTGGCCCCTGTCCAGGAGGCTCACGAGCTCGAGGATGCCATTCAAGAAAGCCTTCGTCAAGCGCGCCTGCCTCGACCTCGAATCCCTTCGGCAGGCTTCCTTGCTGCTGAGTTCATAGGCCCCCCCCCAAAAAAGTGTACAGTGCACACTGTCGGTTCCTAAGAGGGGATTTTTAGTATCCCAAAAAAGGTGTAAAGTCTGCTCACTCAGCTACGAAGTTTCTTGGCAGACGGCCAGGTCATGCAGAGCCGCCTCCGCTTCGGCGTGGCGGGCCTTCGTGGCGACGGAGTGAAGGACCAAGTGGCGCTGGGCTTCGTCTTTGTAGTACCTCTGGGGGATTGGATGAACCCTGAACTTCCCGATTGAGGTGCACGAAGTAGCGGATTTCCAGTACTGCCAGTAGCATCCCCGAAAAGATAGCCCCCCAACATGTACACGCACAAATATTGAGGAGGAACCCTACAAAACACTCGCCAAGAAGCCGTGATATGAACCCCCCCCTTGTCTCATCTGGACACTATATACATCAACCCTAAACCTAAACCCTAAACCCTAAACCCTAAACCCTAAACCCTAAACCCGAAACCCTAAACCCTAAACCCTAAATGGGGGCTCATGGAGTCGCCATGGTACTCAGACTCCGGCACGGGCTGCTCCAGACAGACCGCTGGCCGCATGCGCAGGGAGCCGTCGGCCGTCATCAGCGTGACGCACAGGCGCTCCCCGAGCTGGGCGGCTGGCGCGGATTCCTCGGACTGCTTCCCCGACTGGTCGATGTCCCGGAGCATCTTCCCCTGCAGCTCTTCGGCCGTCATGGACACCAGGGGCTCCACCACGCGCTTCGCCTTCACACATCTTCACACGGTTTTTTCAAGGCAGACAAACTTAGAGCTGCAAGTTACCCCAGCATCCCCAAAGAGTCTAAACATCTCCCCAAGGCCCTCCACCCCTCCTCTGCGCCTCCGCGTGGAGTGAAGGCAGTCTCGCAAGCAAGGCGGCTCGAAGCTCCTTCCGAAGCTTGGACATTCAAGCTTGCTAGCTCTTGCCCGAGCGGTCCGAGTACCTGTATAGTAGAAACTTGGGCCTTCAAAGGGGGTTACCACACAGTAGCTTTTAGGGCCCAAGTATGTACTGTATAGGTACACGGACCCATTTTGGGTTGATAGATACCTGGGTGCCTTTCATAGTCTAACCCTCAACCCTAAACCCTAAACCCTAAACCCTAAACCCTAAACCCTAAACCCTTGGGATGCCTGCGTCCAGCTCCCAAAGCTGGCGGCCCGAGCCAGTTCCAGGTAGAGCTGCGCCTCGGAAGGGCGCAGTGGCCCGAATTGTTTAGGGTTTAGGGTTTAGGGTTTAGGGTTTAGGGTTTAGGGTTTAGGGTTTAGGGTTTAGGGTTGAGGGTTGAGGGGTTAGGGTTTAGGGTTTAGGGTTTAGGGTTTAGGGTTTAGGGTTTAGGGTTTAGGGTTTAGGGTTTAGGGTTTAGGGTTTAGGGTTTAGGGTTTAGGGTTTAGGGTTTACGACAATTGGGGTACCTTATTGGGGTCCGCATTATGAGGCAATGCTGCTATTTATAAGGGTAATCCGACTATTTGGGGACCGACATAAGGGGTCCCCCCTATTGAAGGCCCTATTGTCGTGAACCCCTACTTAGGAGGGACCTTGAAGGTTTTTTTGGGGGGCTTAAACGGGTGTTTAGGGCTTGGACGGGTGCTTGGGGCTTGTGGGGGCTAAACATTGCATAAGGGGTCTATGAGCCAGGAACCTTCAACAGGTCAAAGAGCCTCTGAACCCGGAACCCTGCACCCTAAACAGCCCTAAACCCTAAACCCTAAACCCTAAACCCTAAACCCCAAGCCCTAAACCCCAAGCCCTAAACCCTAAACCCCAAGCCCTAAACCCTAAACCCCAAGCCCTAAACCCTAAACCCTAAACCCTAAACCCTAAACACCCTGAGCACCTCCACCCGGAGAGGCCAACTCCGCTTGCTCTCCCCCAGCTGCTGGACCGCGGAGTGGGCCGAGTCGGCCTGGAGGAGGTTTCGGGCTCCCGAAATTACTGTAGGGTTTGGGTTTAGGGTTTAGGGTTTAGGGTTTAGGGTTTAGGGTTTAGGGTTTAGGGTTTAGGGTTTAGGGTTTAGGGTTTAGGGTTTAGGGTTTAGGGTTTAGGGTTTAGGGTTTAGGGCTTCGGGTTTGGGGTTCAGGGTTTCGGGTTTGGGGTTCGGGTTTAGGGTTTAGGGTTGAGGGGGTTGAGGGGGTTGAGGGGGTTTAGGGGGTTTAGGGGGTTTAGGGGGTTTAGGGGGTTTAGGGGGTTGAGGGGGTTGAGGGGGCTGAAGGGGTTGAGGGGTTTAGGGGTTCAGGGGTTCAGGGTTTAGGGCTTGGGGGTTTTGGGGTTGTGGGGTTTTGGGGTTTAGGGTTCAGGGTTTTGCGTCATCACGTCGATTCCACAGACAGACTCGGTGACTATCAATGAGGAAGTACCTGTAGCTGTAGTCGATAAACCCCAAACCCTAAACCCTGAACCCTAAGCCCTAAACCTGAATCCTAAACCCTAAGCCCTAAACCCATGAGGCCGAGAACCCTAAACCCTAAACCCCAAACCCTAAACCCAAAACCCCAAACCTTAAACCCTAAACCCTAAACCCGGACAGTGGCTCCGTGGCCCAACAGCAGTATGAGTGGGTCCCAGGGTCAAGCTTCATCCTCATAACCATCGTAGCAAACGGCACAAGTCGTACTCGCGGAAAAACAAACAGAACTTGGGGATCGCATTAAAGTAGTCGGTGATAGTAGCAGTAGTAGTAGTAGTAGTAGTAGTAGTAGTAGTAGTAGTAGTAGTAGTAGTCGTAGTAGTCGTGGTAGTCGTGGTAGTCGTAGTCGTAGTCGTAGTAGTAGTAGTAGTAGTAGTAGTAGTAGTAGTAGTAGTAGTAGTAGTAGTAGTAGTAGTAGTAGTAGTAGTAGTAGTAGTAGTAGTATAGTAGTAGTAGTAGGAGTAATAGTAGGAGTAGGAGTAGCAGTAGCAGTAGCAGTAGCAGCCAAAGTAAGGGGTAGAAGTCGTCGTCGTTCTCCCAAGCCCTAAACCTGGCATCCCCCTCATGATGGAATAATACAGGGGCAGGTTGGGGATGTCATGCTGTTACCAAGTCATTTGCATGGTGTGCTCAGGTCACGCTCGATCGTGTTTAGGGTTTAGGGTTTAGGGTTTAGGGTTTAGGGTTTAGGGTTTAGGGTTTAGGATTTAGGGTTTAGGGTTGAGGGTTGAGGGTTGAGGGTTGAGGGTTGAGGGTTGAGGGTTTAGGGGTTAGGGGTTAGGGTTTAGGGTTTAGGGTGGGGTCAGGGTGCCTAGGAGATCGTTGCCAGACTCTGTGCGTAGATAGCTGGGCTCGTCAGACTTGGCTGCGCGCCGGGCTTCGGAATGAACCCTATAAACCCTAAACCCTAAACCCCAAACCCTAAACCCTAAACCCTAAACCCTACACCCTAAACCCTGATTCTGAGGTTGAGGTTTCAGGGTTTCGGAATAAGGGTTGCGCGGTGAGGCCTCTCCCATGTCGAAGTGTGCGCACCTCTTGAGGAGCTCCTGGCGGGCCTGCTAGGGTTTAGGGTTTTAGGGTTTTGGGTTTAGGGTTTAGGGTCTAGGGTTTAGGGTTTAGGGTTTAGGGTTTAGGGTTTAGGGTTTAGGGTTTAGGGTTTAGGGTTTAGGGTTTAGGGTTGAGGGGTTTAGGGTTTAGGGGTTCAGGGGTGAGGGCTGAGGGTTTAGGGTTTCGGTGTTTAGGGGGGGGGGGGGGGTCCAGCGGGGTTTAGGGCTTACCGGCTAGGTTTGGGGTATCGGCTAGGGATCTTGGGCCTCAGTTTTCAAGCCCAAGGCCGGGCAAAAGTCCCGCGAGTTTTTTGAATCTTTGTCTTCGGCCTTCCTAGAGACTCCAATACCCCTCAATTCAGGAATATTACGTAAATATATACTACTAGGGTTCTTTACATTGCTTAAGGAACATTCCTCTAATAACCCCCAATTCAGGAATATTACGTAAATATATATATATATATATACTACTAGGGTTCTTTACATTGCTTAAGGAACATTCCTCTAATAACCCTCAATTCAGGATCATTACGTAAATACATACTACTAGGGTTCCTTACATTGCTTAAGGAACATTCCTTAACTAAGGGGTATTGGAGTCTTCACGCGCTGCCTACGTAACACCTACCTGGAGGTTCATGGCTACTTACAGGTAGTACTTACAAGCAGGGTTAGAAGTACCCTAAATAAGGGCATAACCATACTTCCCCTCCTTATATTGGGGTCTTAGGCTTAAGGTTTAGGGTTTACTCATGCTACCCTCACAACCCTGAAAGCCGCCCATGAACCCTAAACCCTAAACTCTAAACCCTAACCCTAAAGTGGCCTGCAAGGAGATCTGCGTGTAGCCTTCCGCAACATCAAAAATACCTCGTGTGGGATCCAGGGCTTCGGACCTTCATATTGCCCCTGCCCTGAACCCTAAACCCTAAACCCTAAACCCTAAACCCTAAACCCTAAACCCTAAACCCTAAACCCTAAACCCTAAACCCTAAACCCTAAACCAATCCTAAACCCTAAGCCCGAATGCTTAATGCTCCTACGGTGTGACTTTTGTAGCAACTTATCGTATGTTCTGGTAAGTGTCAATCTTGTTTTTTTGCCTGCCATCAAGAACTCAGCAGGGAATGCTTTGGGCCTCGGAATGTGCCTAGGTGTCCTTGTCGGCCTGGTGGGTTTGGATGTCTGCACACAAAATCCCCGAACCTCACACCCTAAACCCTAAACCCTAAACCCTAAACCCTAAACCCTAAACCCTAAACCCTAAACCCCCCCAAAAGCGCCATGACAGGGGGGCAGGATGCCCTGGTCGTGGCAGGCTTGCCGGTAGATCAGCCTCTCTTCGGAGCTGTGCTCCACCAGCTCCTGGTGCTCCTGCTTGGAGGCCCATTACTAGGAATTTTGTTTAAGAACCCCCAAAAAACGTTTAAAAAAATATGAAAATAACAATAATAATAATAATAATAATAATAATAATAATAATAATAATAATAACAACCATAATAACAATAACAATAATAATAATTGTTATTATTATTATTATTATTAATATATATATATATATATATGTGTGTGTGTGTGTGTGTTGTTATTTCTTCCTTATAAGGGAAGTATAGGGAGTACTATTTTGAAATTCTAGATTAGGGTACTCATAAGGTAGGGTAAGTAGGGTTACAAGTGGGGTTATAAGTAGAGTAGTTATAAGCAGGGTAAGTAGGGTTAGAAGTAGGGTTAGAAGTAGGGTTAGAAATAGGGTTATAAGTAGGGTTATAAGTAGGGTTATAAGTCGGGGAACGATGGTTATGACTTATGACCTTCTTTAGGATACTTATGACCCCACTTGGAAGTACCAGTAGACCCTCCAAGTGGGGTTTTTGGGGCCTACCATGTTCTTCAGTTCTACACCCTGACACCTGACAGCCTCACTGCGCGGAAACTGAGGCACCCAACCTCAATGCCGATCTTCTCCACCAAGGTTGAGGCATTCTGCCGGATGAACTGAGACACAAAGTCCTCTGGCTAGTTCTTAGTAGGGAATGGGGGTATGACGTACCTATATACTCCTTTGAAGGGTATATATATATACACATATATATAGATATACTCTCTTAAACGGTATATATTCCCTCAAAGGGTATATTTAGGGCCCAAAAAAATCCCCTATTCACTGCTAGGAACCAGGAAGTCCTGCGCTGCGGTCTGGAGCGGGCCAAGGATGTCGCTTCTCTCAAGCCAATTCTGGAATCGGCCGGAATTTCCCACAGTGGAGCTGGACCAGTGGGCTGCCTGCGACATCAGAAGTAGGGCTTAGGGCTTAGGATTTTGGGTTTAGGGTTTAGGGCTTAGGATTTTGGGTTTAGGGTTCAAGGGTTTAGGGGTTAAGGTTTAGGGACGGACTGCCTGCGACATGACGCTCGCATCTTCGGACTTGTCGGGTGCGGTGTAGCCCAGGAGCGAGGCGATTTCCGTGACGGCAACTGCATTCTCCATCGGAGGCGTACCAGACAAGCCCCACTTGTGCACTGCTCTGAGGCCCCGAAGCATCTCGCGAACTCTATACTCCCAGGCTTCGCTCTCGTGAAACTCATCCAGGATGACCCGATGCCAGTGCATCATCTCGAAAAGTGCCGGGGACCTTTGCAGCAACTGCTCGAAGGATCGCTTGTCCTGGCATCTCTTTCTGACGAGATCTGGGAGCAGTTTTATTTTCTGGGCCATGACTTTGCCGCCCTGCCCCGCGCCGACAGCTGCCTCCGTGACATACTTGGCATACTTCTGGTCTGCGTGGATGCCAGTTGAGGCCAGCACAACATGGAACTTTGACAGCTCTTGCTGCTGGAGCATACTCATCTCTCTGCCTGTTTGCAGGACCAGCAGCTTCAAGGGCCCATTGCCTCGAGCCACCTTGGTGTTTTTGCTACTGGCCTCAGGTTGGGAACTCCTGGCCTCAAGTTGGAAGGTTATCGATGCGATCGACTCCGGCGTGAGCTGTCCAAATAGCGCCGAAAAACGCTTTCTCACGCCGGCGACCCCAAGGTTGCCTTCCTCTGAGCGCATCATGAACGTCTTCAGAGAATCTTCCGCAGAAGCCCTGAAATTCGCAAGGCCTCCCCCCGCAGTCTTCACGTGGCTGCATTGAAGCTTGATGATCCTATCTCCGACACGCGGCGCAGCCCCGTCGCACTTTCGTAGCAGCTGCTTCTCCGTTCTCGGACCCATCCAAGCTATCCTGCAAGGATCCCCGGTGACCTCGATACCGAAACCTTGGTTGACTTCTGAACCCCTCCTAAAAGTTTAACTTTTAGGCTCCTTATTGTGGTTTCTACCAAAAAACCAAAAAAAGTTCAAGTCCTAAGAGCCAGCCGGAAGAAAACCAAGAAACGATACCCCCCTTCCGCAAGTAGCTCGCCCGGATCAAAGCGCACGGTCACCTGGGCCAACCAGTGACTCAGGCTTGGGATGAGAATCTAAGGGTTTAGGGTTAAGGATTTTAGGGTTTAGGGGTTAGGGGTTTAGGGGTTTAGGGTTTAGGGGGGTTTAGGGGTTTAGGGGTTTAAGGGTTTAGGGTTTCTATGGTTTGGCCTTCTAAGCTTTCAGAGCTCTGCGGAGGGCTTCCCGCACGATCCTCAAGGGTTCTGAACACCCGAAGGCCCGCACCTGCTTCGTCTTGTCGGAAGGTTGCGCGCCGCCATACGGACGACCAGGAACCAAAGGGTGCCGGACAGTGGAAATTTCCACACCCTCGCTCCCCAGGAACTTCCAGAACTCCTCCTGCCATTGTTCCAGGAGATGCCTGGGCCAACCCTAAACCCTAAACCCTAAACCCTAAACCGGGTTTAGGGTTTAGGGTTTAGGGTTTAGGGTTTAGGGTTTAGGGTTTAGGGTTTAGGGTTTAGGGTTTAGGGTTTAGGGTTTAGGGTTTAGGGTTTAGGGTTTAGGGTTTAGGTTTGCGGTTTAGGGCTTAGGGTTTAGGGCTTAGGGTTTGGGGGCGCTTGTAAAGTTTAGGAGACTTGAGGCTTCCAAGGTGTATAGGCTGATAAGGGCAGCATAAGGATGCATTACGGCTTTCTGAGGGTTCTGGGCACTGCTGCGCGAAACTGCTGAGCTGCTGCATGTGCGTTCTGTGCTTCCATCTCACAACTTCCGGATGCAGTACTATGTATAAGGTGTATTCTACATGTTGTGGTACTATGGGGGTTATACGAAAATAAGGGGGACCCCGAATTTTGACCCCAAAAATCGTGGGATTCCCTTCTAGCAAGGACCCCAAGCAGTTCCCTGTATGGTCTCAGGCCAGCCCACCCGCCATGGTATCCCCCCCATCCTCTGCCCTCCGGTTAGAAGGATTAAGGTTTCAGGTTTCAGGTTTCAGGTTTCAGGTTTAAGGTTTAAGGTTTAAGGTTTAAGGTTCAAGGTTTAAGGTTTAAGGTTTAGGGCCTGCCCCCGACCCCCCCCCCCCCGCCCCCTTCGGTGCGGTTTAGTGTTTAAGGTTTAGGGTTTAGGGTTTAGGGTTCGGGGTTTAGTATAGGGTCTAAGGTTTAGGCCATTTTTGGCCCGTGGGGTGATTGGGGGGGTGGTTGGGGTAGCGGTTAGGATTTGGGGTTGAAGGTTTAAGAGACCGGCCGCCCGTGCTACCCTGCGCCCCCCCCCCCCCCCCCATGTGGTGGTGTGGGTGCTTCGGGTTTAGGGTTTCGGGTTTACATAAGTTTCGGGTTTAAGGTTTAGCCCCCCCTGCCTGTGCTGCGAATGGGGGGTAAGGGAGGGGGGCGGGGGGGTAGGGCTCGGGAGAGCCCGAGACCCTATACGCAAGCCCACAGCGCATAGGTTTAGGGTTTAGGGTTTAGGGTTTAGGGTTTAGGGTTTAGGGTTTAGGGTTTAGGGTTTAGGGTTTAGGGTTTAGGGTTTAGGGTTTAGGGTTTAGGGTTTAGGGTTTAGGGTTTATGTGCCGTCCAGGAACGAGGGGCACATGATGAGGGTGGCGCTGCTGGGGATAAAGCCAGCAGAGGATCGCTTCCGGGTCGGGGGGTCGGGAGGATGCACGTTCAGTGAGCAAAGCCCGATGGCGATGCCTTGGACTGGCAGAACCGAATTTCCCCACCCTTAAACCCTAAAGCCCTAAAAACCCCTTCTTGAACTTAGAATCATAGAATCATAAGACCTGGCACTCTATAGACCCCCACCCCAAAACAGAAAACACCTCTTTTTTCGACTTCTGAAGCCCTTTGGGCTTACCAAGGTGCTCGTCTTGCCAAAGCCCATCCGATCCGCCAGGAGCCCTCCCCGCAAAGGGCCCTGGAGCCCCTCCTGCGACAGCATCCAGCCCAAGGAGCGCAACTGCTCCTCGCGCAAGGCGTGCTGCCTTGCTGTTGCTTCGCGTAGGGAAGGGGTGAATGAGGTACCCGATAGAATCCCTTAGAGGGTATATAATATATGTATATATTTTTATATGTATATATAGAGGGCCCTAACTCCCTCATTCCCTGCTAACCGACGGTAAGCTGCTGGAAGAGGGCTGGGCTGGCTGCCGCAGGGTCGGCGTCGTTGTTCGGGATGCTGAAGGCGCAAGGGGCCAGCTCGATGCGCCGCCGTTTCGCGTCGGGCTCGGCTGACACAAACAAGTCTGCCTGGCCCGCTGACAAGGCCCTCCTCAATCGATTTGGGGCACTGGAGGAGGCCCGTGCTGGCATGCGAAGTCGAGCACTGGTCACACTAGACGAAGTAGATGACTCGCTTGCCACGTCCTGCACCGAGACTTGCCAAGCACAAGAAGAGGCACTAAACATAACTTCATCCCGGGGTGCCGAGCTTAGACCCTGAACTCCCACCGCTCCTCTTCAGCGTGCGTGGCCCCTGTGGCCGAGGCAATGAGATCGTAGGCCATCTCAACCGCAGACGACACGTCGCCATGGCTCCGATGCAGTGCGGCCCGCGCCACTTGAACATCGATGCCCAGCCTTGGATGCAGGATGTTGCTCTTACCGGTAGGGTCTAGGGTCTAGGGTTAGAGTTTAGGGGTTTCGCGGGTTTAGGCTCTTATTCAGTTTAAGGTTTAGGGTTTAGGGTTTGGGGTTTAGGGTTTGGGGTTTGGGGTTTGGGGTTTGGGGTTCGGGGTTTAGGGCTTGGGGCTTAGGGTTTATATGCGCCCGCGTTCCGCGCAATCGACCCACCCCCCAATGATATGCCCCCCACCCAAACCCTGCCCGTTGACCCTAAAGACACCACGGACCACAGGAGGGGGAGAGGGAAGCCCTGAACCTAAACCCCAAACCCTGAACCCTAAGCCCCAAAACCTAAACGGGGGGAGAAGGGTAAACCCGAAACCTTGACCCGCTTCAACCCTGAACCGTAAACCCAGCACGAACCACAGGGGGGAGAGGGGAAACCATAAACCTACCAATACCCCAAACCTTGAACCCTCAATTCTAAACCCACCGTGAACCCATGCACCAAGGAATTCAGAGTGAAAATCCTGAACTCTACAGCCGAACCCTAAACCCTAAACCCATGAGCCACAGACCAAGAACCACAGGGCGGGAGGGGGGGGGGAATTCAAAACCAATCTGAACCACAGGGGCGGAGGGGGGGGGGGGGGGGGGGGGAGGGGGTTCGTGAATGCTGGCTCATATAGGGTTTAGGCGTTAGGGTTGAGGGCTTGGGGTTTAGGGTATTGATTTTCTTGTACTGATTGTAACTCTTGCAATTCTTGATTTTGTTGTTCTGATTATTGTTCGTGTTGTAACTGTTGTTGTTAAATTAAGTCTTACTAGCTTAGTGGCTGTTATTGCTCTTTATCATTGTTGCTAAACCCTAAACCCTAAACCCCTAAGCCCCCAAACCCTAAACCCTAAGGCCTAAACCGTGAATGCTCTGACTGTGGTGCCTGCCATGGGCTTCTGAGAGCAGCCAAGAGGCAGGCTCGCGAGCTCCGCGACTTTCACGTCGTCTGCCCCCGCTTCCAACATGACCCTCGAAGAGGAGCCGTGACAGCCCTAAACCCTAAACCCGAAAGTCCGAAAGTCCTAAAGTCCCTAAAGTCCTAAAGTCCCTAAAGCCCTAAAGTCCCTAAAGTCCCCAAAGTCCCTAAAGTCCTAAAGCCCTAAAGTCCCTAAAGTCCTAAAGTCCTAAAGTCCCTAAAGTCCCTAAAGTCCCTAAAGTCCTAAAGTCCCTAAAGTCCTAAAGTCCCTAAAGTCCTAAAGTCCTAAAGTCCCTAAAGTCCCTAAAGTCCCTAAAGTCCTAAAGTCCCTAAAGTCCCTAAAGTCCTAAAGCCCAAGGCATTTGATCTGCCTAAATGATTGGCTCCCTGGCCCACGCTCTCCTTAGCTCTCAGCTCCATGCTCATGAGCTTCACCATCTAGCTGCGGCTGAAGACTGCTTCAGGGTTTAGGGTTTAGGGTTTAGGGTTTAGGGTTTAGGGTTTAGGGTTTAGGGTTTGGGGTTTGGGGTTTGGGGTTGAGGGTTTGTTTTAGGCTTGGCATCTTTCGGGTTTAGGGCTGAGATGGGTTGAGGCCTAGGGCTGAGGGTCTGGGGTTCGTGGTTCTGTTTCCCTTCTTCTGTTGCCAGTTTTCAGGCCGGAGCCTCGGCAAAAATGGAGCCTCAACCCTGACATCTTCCACCCACCCACGACCCTGCCGAAAATCTCACAAGCCCGACTCAAAACCCTGTGCCAGAAACCTTGCTTAGTTGCTGAGGGTTTTTAGGGTTCAGGGTCTAGGGTCCAAAGTTAGGGTCCAGCCAAGACTCATTCTTTCAGGAGCTGCTTACTCAGGTTTGGTGGGTCTCTGAGGAAGGCCTCACACTTAATTAGATGCTTTTCATGTTGCCTCTAGAACCTGATATGAGCCAGGGCCAAGCAAGCAACAGAGGAATCTTGCGCTTATCGGGAGTGTGCCCCTCACCTTCCTACCCCGCCAAACCCCTAAACCCCAAGTCCGAAGCACCACCCCCCCCCCCCCCTTACCCCCCGCCCTTCACAAACCCCAACACCACAAGTCTTTCTGGCGCGTCTGCAAGCTCCCGACCCATGTGCAAACTCTGTCAGAGCACTTCGACGGTTCATAGGTGGATTTGTCGCTCGGTCTTGGGAAACTCCAAAAGTAGGTTTCATGGTCCCCACCCTAAACCCTAAACCCTAAACCCTAAACCCTAAACCCCTTAGTCTTGTCCCTTACCATGCCTCTTTAAAGGGCTCCGAAGGATGGGCCCTTGGGTTTTATAGGGCACAGAAGGAGTATGTAAGGGGTCCCCATGTAGGGGCCCATATGCAGGAACCCTAAACCCTAAACCCTAAACCCTAAACCCTAAACCCTAAACCCTAAACCCTAAACCCTAAACCCTAAACCCTAAACCCTAACCCTAAACCCTAAACCCCTAACCTAAAGAGAACTCAGTGTATTGGGTTTCGGCTTCTTGGATGTTGTGGTTTTCAGGGCTGCACGTTCAGGGTTTGGTTCGTTGTAAGACCCCGAGTCAGGCGATAACCAGTTACAGCTAGAGGCGCTCTCCGGCTTAGAATTTCGGTTAAACTACGCGCGAACCTCTTACTAGCCCCCGAAAGCCCCCAAACCCTAAATCCCGAACCTTACACTCCAGGTATTCAACCCTAAACCCTGAACCCAAACCCTCAACCCTCAACCCTCAACCCTCAACCCTCAACCCTCAACCCTCAACCCTCAACCCTCAACCCTCAACCCTCAACCCTCAACCCCTCAACCCTCAACCCCGAACCCTAAACCCTAAACCCTAAACCCTAAACCCTAAACCCTAAACCCTAAACCCTAAACCCTCAACCCTCAACCCTCAACCCTCAACCCTCAACCCTCAACCCTCAACCCTCAACCCTCAACCCTCAACCCTAACCTAAACCTAAACCCTAAACCCTAAACCCTAAACCCTAAACCCTAAACCCTGACGTAGTTACCCACGAACCTCAAAGTAGGGCCTCGCCATCTGCATTCTTCAAGTCGAGGTGTTCGGAGTGCGGGGGGCTTGAGGGCTCTATAATCTGGCAGGGTTTAGGGTTTAGGGTTTAGGGTTTTAGGGTTTAGGGTTTAGGGTGTAGGGTTTCGGGTTTAGGGTTTAGGGTTTAGGGTTTAGGGTTTCGGGTTTCGGGTTTAGGGTTTTAGGGTTTAGGGTTTAGGGTTTAGGGTTTAGGGTTTAGGGTTTAGGGTTTAGGGTTTAGGGTTTAGGGTTTAGGGTTTAGGGAAATCTGGCTGGGAATGAGGGGAATGAGGTACCCTATATAATCCCTTATAGGGTGCATATAGGGCCCTACAGCCCTCTCGGGTTTGTTTAGGGCTTAGGCATTTCAGGGCCGCAAGGTCGAGGGTTGCTTTAGGGCTGACAAGGTGCTAGGGTCTATAGGGCCTCTAAGGCTTTAGGGCCTTTAGGTCTAAGGAGCCGATGGCTTGATATTGGCTTTGGTGACATGTAGGGCATCGGGTCTTAAAATGTCGGGTGGCTTAATCCGGCTTTGGTGACATCTACAGGTTTTGGGGTTCCCCCCGCCCCCTGCACCCCAAAAATTCTACGCACCTCAAGCCCAGGGGAACGGAAACGCGGAGGCCACGGTCAGAAGAAGGAGCGCAGCTTTAAACTTTCAAAGCTGTTATACCCAGGAGATTTACATACTTGGAGGTTCATGAGTACTTCTAGCCCCAATTCTAAGTCTTCTACTTGTAGCCTACATAGAGGACTCAGCGGCTTGCAAGTGCAGCTATAACTGGGGGGCTAGAAGAAACTGAACCTCCAAGTTCAGGCTTAGAGAAGTAGAAGAGACAGGCACATACGGCCTATTTAAGAAGGCGCATGCAGGGAGGGGGGCACCTGTCCCACCCTTCAGTCAGTGATCTGCCTCCGGAGGTACATGTTCACCGGGGACGTTTCCCGAAAGAAGTCCTGCCAGGGGGTGTAATTCCTCTCTTTCCTCGTTCGGAAGAATATGGGGTTTAAGATCTGGGGGTGTAAGGTCTTAGCCTGGGCACTGCAGAGGCCCTACACCCTCCCAAACCCCAAGCCTAAACTCCAAACCCCAAACCCCAAACCCCAAACCCTAAACCCTAAACCCTAAACCCTAAACCCGAAACCCTAAACCCTAAACCCTAAAACCCCAAACTATTTGTCGCCAGGGAAGAACCCAGTCCTCTCCAACGCGATCCAGCCTGCCTGCCAGGTTCGGGGATGCTTCGAAGCCAGGGTTTAGGGTTTAGGGTTTCGGGGGTAGGGTTTGGGGTTTGGGGTTCAGGGTTTAGGGTTTAGGGTTCAGGGTTCAGGGTTCAGGGTTGAGGGTTTAGGGTTTAGGGTTTAGGGTTTAGGGTTTCGGGTTTGGGGTTTGGGGTTTAGGGTTTAGGGTTTAGGGTTTAGGGTTTAGGGTTTAGGGTTTAGGGTTTTCGGGATACTCTAAGGGGCACACAACTCACCAAGGCAAGCGGCTGAGCGACGAGGAGATCGGCAACTTCGGGGGCGGCTGCTTGGCCACAGCCTTGATGCCACGAAGCTTCCCCCCCCCCCCCACATGATTCAAGGGGCTGTCCCTAAACCCTAAACCCTAAACCCTAAACCCAAACCCCAAAGCCTAAACCCTAAACCCTAAACCCTAAACCCCAAACCCTAAACCCTAAACCCTAAACCCTAAACCCCAAACCCTAAACCCTAAACCCTACCCCTCCGGAAGGCCTCCTCGAGGGTCCAGGCCGGGGGTGCCGAGGCATAGCCGAGCCAGAAGACGAGACCAGCACAGAAGCAGGAGCTCGCCTTTTCTTTTTTCTCCCTCTCTCTCTCTCTCTCTCTCTCTCTCTCCCTCCTCCTGCGGGTTTAGGGTTTAGGGTTTGGGGTTTGGGGTTTAGGGTTTAGGGTTTAGGGTCTAGGGTTTAGGGTCCTGACCCCGCCGAAGAGGAGGAGCCGCCCGGAGGCGTGCGGTAACCGGGTCTGTTAGTGAAACCACCCTCGCCCACTCTCACTCGCGCTCCCGCTCCCGCTCACACTCTCTGACCCCTTCCTGTGGGTGTTGACTCCAGGGATCCGGTCGTGCAGTTGGGTCTGTCAGCACTTTAATGCAGGGTCGTGAGGGTTTCTTTGGGGGGGATTCGGGGATATTTACATCTACAAGCTCGATAAGACGAACAGCTACAAGAATGAAATAGCACCACAACTTTGCAAAATATGCACGGTACATATCTCCATATGAATAAGTGTGTGAGTATGTGCATACATATATATATATATATGTATGTATACATATACATATACATATACATATACATATACATATGCATATACATATACACATACACATACACATACACATACACATACACATACATATACATATACATATACATATACATATACATATACATATACATATACATATACATATATATATATGGGGGCCTGACAAAACCGCGTGTTTGTCGCACGTTGCGCAACATGCTTGGCGGGCCCCTATCGATTTTCGAGGCTTACCACCCCGACAAAGACAGCATCTCTTCGAGTATGGGGGGTATCCTAAACCCTAAACCCTAAACCCTAAACCCTAAACCCTAAGCTCTATGGGATTTTCGTCCACGCGGCCTGCACCAGGATGAGGCCAATAGGGCCCTGCCGGATCAAACATTGGGTGGCGAACATGGAGATCACCTGATTTTCGAGCTTCGGGTGTTCTGGTTCAGGGCTTTTCGGGTTTTGGGATTTGCGGCTTTGGGTTTCGGCTGCGGCTTAGGGGGGAACATGGTTACATTATAACAAAGACCCAAGTAGCCATAAACCAGGAGACTACAGTGTAGTACACAGCTATAGGATGACCCATTATGCCACCCAATACATTCCCGTCATAGTAAGGAACTTAAATCCAAGCCCTACACTACTATTTGCTGAAGAAGCACCCCAAAAAAATGAAAAGACTCTTCCTTGTATTCTATCTTCATATTTATTTTTTTTTGGGGGCGGGCGGGGGGGGGTTCTTAAGCCCGTCATAGACAAACCCCCCCCCCCCCCCCGCCCATCCAAAGCCCTCCAAAGTCCACAGGCAGGTGTCAGAGGGCATCACACTCTGCGCCAGGATTTCACAGGAGGCGGCCATGCCCGCACCTGGGGTTTAGGGTTTAAGGTTTAGGGTTTAGGGTTTAGGGTTTCGGGTTTAGGGTTTAGGGTTTCGGGTTTAGGGTTTAGGGTTTAGGGTTTAGGGTTTAGGGTTTAGGGTTTAGGGTTTAGGGTTTATGGTTTATGGTTTAGGGTTTAGGGTTTAGGGTTTAGGGTTTAGGGTTTAGGGTTTAGGGTTTAGGGTTTAGGGTTTAGGGTTTAGGGTTTAGGGTTTAGGGTTAGGCTAAGTTTAGGGCTTAGGGTTTAGGACTTGCTGCGGGTTGGAGTTTAGGAACTTAGGGCTAAGGGCTTGGGGAGTTCAGGAACTTAGGGCCAAGGGTTTGGGAAGTTGGAGGGGGGAGGGAGTACGGAAGCCACATTGCGGTAACACAAACTGCTTTCTTAAGCCCACAACCCTACAACCTACAACCCTAAGCTCTAAACCCTAACCCCTTAACCCCAAACCCTAAACCCTAAACCCTAAGCCCACATCCCTACAACCCGGGCACAGTCGGCCAGCGGCTCAAAGAATAGGACGTTGCAGGACACGGCGCAAATCCTTGCGGCCGGAGTGGGCTCTGGAAAAGGTTTAGGGTTTAGGGTTTGGGGTTTAGGGTTTAGGGTTTAGGGCTTAACTAGGGTTTAGGGCTGAGGGCTTAGGGCTTAGGGCTTTGGGTTTAGGGTTTAGGGTTTAGGGCTTTGGGTGTAGGGTGTATAGGGTTGTGAATTTGGGGTGTGAGTTTTGAGCCCACCCCCCACTTGAGGCCACTGCCCACGAACTTTGGGCCCAGCACCCACGAACTCAACAAAAGCCAAGTAGAAACATGGATACGCATATGAATGAGTATGAATATATAAATACAAGCATAAGCGGACACATACATTTGAAAGGGGGATTCGGGCTTAGGGCATCTGGCCGACATAGGGCTCTTCGTGCCTTCTCAGCAAACCAAGACCTCGCTTAAATGGAACCTGGTGCTACTAAGGGGCTGGAGAATCTACTTCCCACAAAGGGGCACAGTTCGGCTACTATAGGCGGGCATAAAGGAGCTGCAACATATAGTTCGCTCTAAACCCTGAACCCTAAACCCTAAACCCTAAACCCTAAACCCTAAACCCTAAACCCTAAACCCTAAACCCTAAACCCTAAACCCTAAACCCTAAACCCTAAACCCTAAACCCTACCCGCACTGAGTCCATTCAATGCGTTCGACCTCGTTCTTTTGTGAGACAACGCCTGGGTCCAAAGCCCTGAGCCCTCTGAGGAGCAACATCCCCTCAAAGGAGAGCCCGGCACAGCCCTTCCCCAACCGGGATGGGGGTTTAGGGTTTAGGGTTTAGGGTTTAGGGTTTAGGGTTTAGGGTTTAGGGTGTTAGGGTGTTAGGGTGTTAGGGTGTCAGGGTTTAGGGTTTTGGGGTTTAGGGTTTAGGGTTTAGGGTTTAGGGTTTCGGGTTTAGGGCTTAGGGCTTCGGGGTGCAGCCGCGAGTCATGTTGAAGAAGCCCTGCAAGGAGGTGCCCACCACGTAGGCCCCAAGGCACCCGGGAAGCAGAATTCCCAGCGCCAGGTGCACCAGCCCTGCGAAGCCCATCCTGGGCTTAGGGTTTAGGGTTTAGGGTTTAGCGGTTTGGGGTTTAGGGTTTAGGGTTTAGGGTTTAGGGTTTTGGGTTTCGGGTTTCGGGTTTCTGGTTTCGGGTTTCGGGTTTAGGGTTTAGGGTGAGGGGGGGGGGGGGTTGGGAAGGGGGGAGGTGTAAAGACATCTTGGCACCCCGAACCCTCACTAAGCACAAAGACCCTAAGCCCTAAAAGCACTAAGCCCGAAGCCCTAAACCCTAAGCCCTAAAGCACTAGACCCCAAAAGCCCTAAAC